ACTGATGCTGATGTGGGATGCTGGCGTGGGGCTTAACCCACGGAGGCACGGAGCCAGCCCCGGGATGGGTGCTTACTGGCTTGGTCATGATGAGTTTACTCCACTTCGGTGCTGCGCCTCACCTTGACCCGGTCGGCAGCGTAGCCCCTTCGTTGGGCCCTCTCGAGGGAGAGGAAGGATGGTGCCTCTTACTGGCATTTTTTTAAAAACAATCTGTTTGTTTGAAAGGCAGTTGCAGAGAGAGGGAGAGACACGCAGACATACGCACAGATATCCTCCTGCTGCTGGCGCACTCCGAGTAACAGCGGTGCCATCTGCTGCTGCCTTTGCCAGGCGCGCTGTCACGGGCTGCCTGTTCACCTGGCGTCACGCGTGCTGCTTCCTGTTGCCCCAGGTTTATGCAGAGCCGTCTAATGGGCTGTCTGCCGTGCTTGCTCTCCCCTCTCTCCTAGCCGTGCAGGGGTTTTTTTTGAAAGTTGAGTGAGATTGTCACTCCTGCCGAATGGCTCCTTTTCTCCCCGTGACGCCTTGTCGGAGTTGGGATCAGATCCACGGTGCCCGCTCCTCTTCCTCGCCTGGGCCTTCCTTCCACCCCACCTGCTTCGGCACTGCCGTCTCCTTCCTGTCACACACCGAGCCTGCGCCTGCTGTGGGACCTCTGCCCCGTGCCCTCTGCCCCCGTGCCCTCTGCCCCCATGCCCTCCGCCCCGTGCCCTCCACCCCCGTGCCCTCCGCCCCGTGCCCTCCGCCCCCGTGCCCTCTGCCCCCGTGCCCTCTGCCCCCGTGTCCTCTGCCCTCTGCCCCGTGCCCTCCGCCCTGTGCCCTCCGCCCCGTGCCCTCCGCCCCTGTGCCCTCTGCCCCTGTGCCCTCTGCCCCGTGCCCTCTGCCCCCATGCCCTCTGCCTCGTGCCCTCCGCCCCATGCCCTCCGCCCCCGTGCCCTCTGCCCTCTGCCCCGTGCCCTCCGCCGGCACTGTCGTGCCTCACACTCCAGTTGGCTGTTCGCAGGGCCCTTCCCTGAGCGCTCTGTCACTGCCTCTTCCCTGCGATGACTTGGGCTGTGCTGTGCCCGGAGAGGACTTGCTTTTCCCTCCTGAAATGTAAGATGCTTGGGAGTTGGTGCTTTGCTGCTCTTGCCTGCTCTTGCCAGCACCTGGTACCTGTTAGGCATTCAGTAAATATTTGTTAGACGGCTGGCCGGCTGTCCACATTCCTCGCCTCCTGACCGGGAGCTTACAAGCCAGGAATGTGAAGCATTGGAACAGCGGCAGATCGAGGCCCAGAGCTCTTCCCGCCCTGCCTCCCTCTGGTCACAGGGCACAGTGTCCCGAGCCCCAGGCTGGCTTTCCTTCTCGTTTCCCTCCAGCTGTGAATACTGGATCAGTATACCAAGTCTCCGCGCTAATGTCCTCTCCCTAGCTTTTTTTTCCCAAGTTTTAGTTAACATAACTATAACTATTCTAAGAACTGCTAGCTTTGTATAAAAGGATGGGAGCTTGGTACTGCACCTGGGTTCTTTTGGGGTATAAAACTGTATATTTTAAACAAAGTGCATCGTCCTGAAAGTGTAGATTAGTAAAATCGTGTCTCCGTTAAGCATGTTCTCATTGTTTGTTCAGTCAATCATGACAATTAGGGAGAAGGAGAGACAGAGAGAAAGATCTTCCATCTGCTGCTTTACTCCTTAAAAGGCCTCAGTGGCCAGGACTGAGCCAATTCAAAGCCAGGATCCTGTAGCTTCTGGGTCTCCCACATGCGTGTGGATCCCAGCGCTTTGGGCCGTCCTCGACTGCTTTCCCAAGCCAGTAGCGGGGAGCTGGATGGGACCTGGAGCAGCCGGGACATGAGCCAGTGGGATCCCAGTTCTTACCAGGTAAGGATTTAGCCTCTGAGCCATCGCGCCAGGCCCGGGAGCTCCCTTGCCTGCCCTTAGCTGATCTGGGAAGGCCCGGATCCAGGCATCCCAGCTTTGCCAGTGTGTGTGTGTGTGTGTGTGTGTGTGTGTGTGAGTGAGCCTGGCGCCCCGAGCGCAGTGAGCCTCACGCTGTCTCTCCTCCTCCAGCCCCGCCCTCCTGCGTGCTGCTGCTTTCTGGCTGGTCACAGAGGAGGGACGATGCCTGCAGTGCGAAGGTCTAAATCCAAGGTGAGTGTGGCTTCCTTCAGGAAGCTTTCATCTTACCTTGCACTGCCTGGGGCCTTGGCTTTCCTCCCCTGGAGACCTCCTGCCCGTTGGGACCACCAAGCCCTGCTCAGGGTTTTTGCCTCTCACCATGGAAGTGGGAACTGAGAAAGGCCACCATCCCGCTCAGCGTGGACGTTTCCATCCACCGGCCCTTCTGTTCGGCATTCCCAGGAGTCTGCCACGCTGGGAGCAGTGCCCTTCCTGGACGGCTGAGGGTCTCTGCGCTCTGTGGGGGTGGGAACACTGCCCGGGTGTGAGCCACGGAGCTGGGGCTCTCCAGGTGCGCTGCAGGCCAATGCTGGCATCTCGGGCTTCTCTTTGGAAGCCTGTATTGCGTGGGGGAGAGCTCCAGCTGGCACAGCAGTGGGGGAGAGCTCCAGCTGGCACAGCATGGTCAGTCTGTTGTGTGAGAGGATTGGAGCCAGGGCAGTGAGGGCAGGGTCAGTCTCCTGAGAGGAGCAAGCCTCGAAGCTGGAGATGAAGCACTTTTTGTTTTTTTTTTTTTGTTTGTTTGTTTTCTTTTGTTTTAATTAGGCAGATACACAGAGAGGAATATCTTCTGTCCACTGATTCACTCCCCAAGCACTCACAGTGGCCGGAGCTGAATCCAAAGCCAGGAGCCAGGAGTTTCCTCTGGGTCTCCCATGTGGGTACAGGGTCCCAAGGCTTTGGGCCGTTTTCTACTGCTTTCCCAGGCCACAAGCAGGGAGCTGGATGGAAAGCAAGGCTGCCAGGATTAGAACTGGCGCCCACATGGGATGCTGGTGTGTGCAAGGTGAGGACTTTAGCTGCTAAGCCACCGTGCCAGGCTCGATGAAATACATTTTTATAGCAAGCATTTATAATTCAGTTTCTCAGACACTTTTGCCCTCAGAACTCTGTGCAGCCACAGTTCCCTCGTGCTGTTATAAAAAATATTGGCGTAAATTTTGTGTCTCAAAGCAGTATGTGCTTATTTCATTATTTTTTATATGCTTCTCTTATAATTTCATGGGTGCGAGTGTAGGCACAAGGTGGCCTAGCCGGGTCTCTAGTGACTGAAACTGGGGTATCAACTGGCGGTGTTCTTTTTTTTTTTTATAAATTCATTTTAGTTTTGCTGATGTTCGCATAGTTGAGAGGGGCGCATGTGCATGTGGAGCACCGAGTAGGGTGGGAGGGTCGAGCAGTGGGGGAGTGGGAGAGACAACTGCCTCCAGTCTTCTTTTTATTTCTTGTGTCTGGGGAAAGACTGTTCTCACTTCGCAGAATCCAGGTCCTTCTCATGCTGTTGAGGCGACCCTCTGTTTCTGTCTTTAAGCCGGTAGCATTTCCTGTTTTAAGATCTGCCTGCCTTGAGATGAACTGGTTGGTAACTTGAGTTGTACGTGCAGGGCCCTTTTGTGACATATTCACACAGTGTGCAACATGGTCCCGTGGTCTTTGCAGAGTATGTCATGGCTAGCTTGAGTTGCGGGTTCGAACCCCAGCTCCCGAGTTAGGAGCATTGTGAGCGGCCTCGCCTCTCTGGGCCTCAGTTTGTTCATCTGTGTTGTTGCTTTAATCTGTTGGTAGTGGTTCGTCATCAGTCAGCATGAGCACGTCATGAGCCAGCACTGCTGCGGGCTGCGGAAAGTGTGGTGACTTTGTAAATCTCGAAAGACCCAAGGCGTTATGTTCTTATACAACACAATCTTTAGGAAGAACTACACAAATCATATCGAATTGGACTTTAATACACATGTGGCATGTTTGCATTCAGTTCACTGATTTCTTTTTCCAGCTTTGTGGAAACATAAACTCATGGTGACAATTGGCATGTGATTTTTACATTTCAGGCACCAGTGACCTTTGGGGACTTGGCCATCTACTTCTCCCAGGAGGAGTGGGAAGGGCTGAGCCCCAGTCAGAAGGACTTGTATCAAGAAGTCATGTTGGAGAACTATCGTAACCTGGTCTTCGTGGGTAAGGCTCGCCGGCCCCTTCATATAGAATTGCCTGTCGAGGGGCAAGCTGCTCGGGTTAAGTCCAGCCAGGAAAGCTGAAACTACGGCCCAGCGAGCTGTAACACGTACTGTGCAGTCGCCTTAGGTGGAGTGTGCAGGGAGTGGCTCTTAGTGGGTTTGGAGCTGTGCAGCCAGCATGTCATCAGAATGCTGTTTGTCCTCGCAGTTAGGATGCCTGTGTCCTGCATCGGAGTACAGGAATTCGCTTCCCACCCTGGCTTCTGACCCTGGCAGGCAGCCCCTCACTGGGGAGACTCCCAGCTTCCCGCCTGTCCCTGCCTAACGCTGGCAGCTCAGGCATCTGAGTAGTAAACAGGTAGACACGTAGACGACTCAGCTGGCTATGCATGAGATTGCCTCTATTTTATGTGAGAGTTAGAAAGCTAACTTGTTTTCCTACCTATTCAGCCAAGTAGGTATCCTCCAGTTCAGCTTAGTCCTGACACCATCTGCAGATTACATCTGATCCCACAAGTTAAAGGCTTAGTCCCAAAAGACTGCCCTGCTTCACACAGGTCATAATTTTAGTCTCTGGAGCTTCTGATTGTAAATTCCCCTGTCCTGTGACTTCCTCCTTGCATGTGATTATCAACTAGAACCATTCCTGGGGCTCGGCTTTAGTGTGAAAGATGCTACAAAAGGTGCGGGGATCACCAGGGGAAGAAATGCCCCGAGCAGAGGGTTAGGAAGTGGCGTGGCTGTCTGTCCCTGCCCTCCGAGTGGGTCATGCCCCATGTGTGCAGCGACTGGAAAGTTCCCAGAGTGTTTTGAGTTTGTGGAGGCTTCATTGTGATTGGTTACACAGCCACTGGCCATTGGCGATCAGTTCAACCTCCAGCCCCCTTCTCATCCTGGGAGGTCAAGGGGGAGTGAAGGCTTCTGCCCCTTCATCACTAGGCTGTCTGGCAAGCAGCCCCATCCTGAGGTATGCAGGAGCCCGTGACTGGCAGTTATTCATTAGCATACAAAGAGACACCTATCCCTTTGGAATCCTAAGATTTTGGGGCCTGTGTGTGCCACGAAATGGGTACAAAAACTCAATGTCTGGTTCTTACTGTAAATGCCAGCTTCCCACCGTCTGTTCTGTCTGCCCTTCCCATTCTGTGTGTTTGCTTCATGCTGATGAGCCCTCGTTGTGTTGATGTGGTGTTTGGCTGTGACTTCATGGCGCTCGCAGCCCGACAGTCCCAGTCTGTGTTCTGTGCAGGTCTCTCCTGTCGGAGGCCAAACGTCATCATCTTGTTGGAGAAGGGGGAAGCACCCTGGGTGGTGGAGCCATCGAAAAGACGGCACGGCCCAGGTGAGTGACGGAGAGCCAGCTGGCGGAGTCCGCGGAGACTGCTAGGCCAAGATAGTATATCCTGCATGCCGGCTCACTCCCCAAGTGCCCGCAACAGTCCTCGTGCTGGGCCAGGCTGAAGCCAAGAGCCAGAGGCTGTCTGGGTCTTCCATATGGTGGCAGGAACCCATGCACTTGAGCCACTGTCCGCCTCCCAGGGTGTGTCAGCAGGAGGCTGAGTCAGAAGCAGAGTGAATAGGACTTGAACTGCAGTCCAGCGTGAGATGCAGGTGGCCCAGGTGGCAGCCTAACCCCTAGTATCACATGCTCACTCCTGGGCCTCTTTGGTAATAACACCAATCCCATCCATGAATGCAAAACCTCATGACTTAGTCACCCAGGAATAGCTCCGCTTCCTAATTCTATCCCTTGGCAGTTAAAGATTTCAGCATTTATGGGGTGGTGTTGTGGCACAGTGGTTAAACCACTATTGGAACACTGGTTCAAATTTCAGCTGTTTCAGTCCAGCTCCCTACTGGGAAAATAGTGGAAGATGGCCTAAGTACTTGAGTTCCAGCTACTCACACGGGAGACCCAGATGGCATTCGTTGCCCAGTCCCAGCTGTTGTGGCCGTTTGGGAAGGGAACCAGTGGATGGGAGATCACCTCCTCCCAAGAAACTCTGCCTTTCAAATAAATGAATCCTTTTTTTTTTTTTTTAAGATTTATTTATTTTTAATGGAAAGTCAGATATGCACGGAGGAGGAGACAGAAGCATCTTCTGTCTGCTGATTCACTCTCCAAGAGGCGACAACAGCCAGAGCTGAGCTGACCTGAAGTCAGGAGCCAGGAGCTTCTTCTGGGTCTCCCACATGGGTGCAGGGCTCCAAGGCTTTGGGCTGTCCTTGACTGCTTTTCCAGGGCAAAACAAGGAGCCGGAAGGCAGTGGAGCAGCCAGAATATGAACTGGTGCCCATATGGGATCTCAGTGCATGCAAGGCAAGGACTTTTAGCCACTAGGCCACCACACTGGGCCCTCTTTTTATCTCATTTTTCATGTAGATTCTAATTTGTTATCAGTATGGACATATTTATGTGATTTTACCTTTGTTCTGTAGTATTGAGTCTCATAATTAAATTGGCAAAAGGTTCAAACACATTAGACAATGCTGAATTGTTTCTCAGAGGACCTTTCAAAGTACCAGTTTCAGTAAAAATCCTAGATGCTGATTCTCAGCTGAGTTTTACCGACAGGCAACATATCACACGTCTTAGCATGATTTATTGCTGGAGAAGGGAGCACACGGGGGATGGCTTCTGGAAGCTTGGGCCTGGTTTTCCCCACAGTTTTGCCCCTTTAGCAGTAAGTTGTGGCCGTGAGCCTAGCCGGAAAGGGGGAATCGTCAGATACGCACCATCAGCAGCAATGGAGTCTGGTAGTGTTGGGTATTGTCATTAGAACTTGGGATGCGTATTTGGCCTGTGGCTGAGCGCTGGTGTCACGGTGTCTCGTGTCCGAGGCCGCTCGCGCTCCTGGCCCTGGCTCTGTGTTCCCTTCGTCCGCTTTTATCGATGGTTTCTTATTTTCTGTTTCTCTTCCTGTGGAGCTGTCTGCTCATCCTCTTTCCACTTCTGTCTGCTGGTGACTGCTTCTCTTCACCATGTACAGACCTTTAATACTGAAAAGACTAGCCCTTCACTGTCGTGTTGTACTTCAGGTGTTTCCCGTCCTGCCGCTAGTTTTTATTTTATCTGCCTCTTGCTTTTCTCTTTGGTTGTTTGAGAATTGTCTTCATTTTTGTGTGGTTGAAGATGTTGACGTTCATAGCATAATTTACATGCTATTTCAGTGGTTAGAAAGTAATATCCCTTCTAGATTTTTGGATAAATTTCATCTTATTTCAGTTTGTTTCTAATGATTTTATATTTTAGTTTTGACCTTATTCATGATGATGTAGTTTAAAGGACTCCCAGATTGAAGACAGGGAGATAAGCTAAGGGGATTTTTTTAGTATTTAACAAAGTAAAGTCCTGAATAAAGGAACATGTAAAGATAAAGGAAGACCAGAATTTGAGGAACCCGTGAGTGGAAAAGCAACAGAGTCAGTGTCACTTTGAGGTGTGGGGCAACCAGAATTGTAGGATGAGACCTGGCTTGCTCTGGGAGATGTTGGTATCCATGTGAAAACCTCAGTGTCTCCCTGCCTTGATTCTCTGTTATGCCGTCTTCATTTATATACTTCTACGAATAATAATTATATAGTACCTGCTACCAGATACTAAACTACAGGTCCATAATCCTTTGTAGAAGGGGCAAGATGTGCTTCATAATTCAAATATTTCCAGATTTTATAAAGGTAAAGATTTTACAGTTTTTTTATACTAAAAAGTGTAACGGATATTGCGTGATATTCCTAGAAGTGCTAGATTAGCACTCTATAATTAAACATTACTAATATTTTTACAAAAAGCACATGATTAGTCTTTGTAAATGTGATAAGTGTAGGCTGTAAGTCTCCCCGTTGCATTCAGAGGAGGGTTTCCTTTAAATTTATAAACATCAACCAGAGAAGAAAAGAAGCAGCTTTGATCTCTCACGTTGTTGAATACTGGAAGGGCAGATAGGGAGTGTAGCATAAACTGCGTACTTAGTATGTACAATTCTCACAAAAAACCTGTGCGATAAATAATTGTGTTCATCTTAAAACTAAATAGTATAGTAATAATTTCTCATCCTAATGTAGCTAGTAATTACTTCAGTATGATCTTTTTTTAAGGTTTATTCTTATTTGAAAGTCAGATATACACAGAGAAGAAGAGGCAGGGAGAAATCTTCCATCCGTTGATTCACTCCCCAGATGGCCACAGTGGCCAGAGTTGAGCTGATCTGGAGCCAGGAGCTTCTTCCGTTTCTCCCATGTGGATGCAGGGTCACAAGGACGTGAGCCATTCTCTGCGGCTTTCCCAGGCCACAGGCAGGGTGCTGGATGGGAAATGGAGCAGCTGGGACATGAACTGGTGCCCATGTGGGATCCCATTGCTTGCAGGTACAGAATTAACCTGTTGAGCCGTAGCACCGGCCCCACAGATCTGCCTTTAAAGCACCATTGTGCAGTGGAAAGAAAATGTGAGATATAGATATTATTGAAGCTTTTTAGTATTTATGTAGAATCACTTTCTGTAAGGTTGATTTTTGTTTGAAAGGCTGAATTACAAAGAAGAGAAAGTAAGAATGAGAGACAATATGTAGAATAACTTTTAAAAATAAATAAAATTGTAATGGTAAATATATAACTCAGAAATTCCAGAATACTATAATAGTTAATATATATATATATATTTCATACTGAGTCTTTACAATCTCACAGCACATCTCAGACCAGACGAGTTGGGGCTGGTACTGCGGTGCGGTGGGCTAAGGTGCCAGTGGGATTGCCAGCATTCTGCATCAAAGTGCCAGTTCACATCCCGACTGCTCGCTTCTGGTCTGGCTTCCTACTGTGTGCTTGGTAAGGCAGCAGCTGATGTCCCAAGGGCCTTTGTCACCCAAAGGGGAGACCAGGATGGAATTCCTGACTCCCAGCTTCGGTCTGACTCAGGCCTGGCTGTTGTGCACGCTTACGCAGTGAGCTGGGGGTAAAAGATTGAGCCATCTGTCTGTTTATCTGACTCTCTCCCCTTCTCTGGCTTTCCCTGTCTCTCTTACTCTTCTTTTCAAATGAAACAAATCTACAAAAATCAGATCAGCCCTATTTCAAATGATCAGTAGGTACATGTATGTTGTGGCTGTAGCATTAAACAAAAGAATTTTCTTTTAAAGATTTATTTATTTTTATTGAAAGTTGGATATACAGAGAGGAGGAGAGACAGAGGAAGATCTTCCGTCTGATGGTTCACTTCCCAAGTGACTGCAATGGCTGGAGCTGAACCAATCTGAAGCCAGGAACCAGAAGCTCTTCCAGGTCTCCCATGCGGGTACAGGGTCCCAAGGCCTTGGGCCGTCCTCCACTGCTTTCCCAGGCCACAGGCAGGGAGCTGGATGGGAAGTGGAGCAGCTGGGACACAAACCAGTACCCACATAGAATCTTGGTGCGAGTAAGGCAAGTATTAACCCACTGAGCCTTTGCATCAAGTCCATGTAAATAGATTTTTTTTAAAATGTTTTATTTTTCAAACATTAATTTTATTTGAAAGTTAATGACAGAGAGGGGATAGTGAGGAGGTCTTCTGATTCACTCCCTGTGTGATCACAGTAGCCAGGCCTGTGCCAGGCTGAAATTAGAAGCCAGGAGCTCCCATCTGGGTCTTTGACGTGGGTGGTAAAGTCCCAAGCGCTGTGCCAACATCTGCCTTTTCAGGCATGTTGGCAGGAACCTGAATCGGAAGCAGAGCAGCTGGTATTTAAAGTGGCACTCCAACTGGGGACACTAGTGTCATACCAGCTCTTTGTACTTTATTTTTTCTTAAAGACTTCCTGAAGATTTATTTTCTTGAAAGGCAGAATGATAGAAAAGGAGGGAGAAGAAGAGAGAGAGCGAATGGGGAAAGAGGAATGTTTTAGGGAAATTTTACGTGATAAAATAATATGAATAGAATAAACATTATAGTGTAAACATACATTTATTCAATGAACAACTCATGAAACTGAATGATGGATGACTGAAAATTTATCCTACCAGTAAAACTTTGATTTGCTGATTTTCAAATTGCAGACTCTAAGGGGTCCCAGTTATTAAGCTTTTTTTGTAAACCCCACAGTATAACAATTGAAACCATATCAAAACATTAAAGATACAATTCTAATTAAAGATATTTTGAGTGATGTTCCCAGAGTTCATTTTCCCAGCACAATTTCTTGTCTTTTAGATTCAGGGTCTAAGTGTGAGCCTAAGAAGTTACCTTCAAGTCAGTGCAACAAGTCTGGACTAAGCATCGAGCAAAAATCAGCTTCTGCGCAACGAAAAGTTCCTACAGGAAAGAGAAACTGCAACAAAAATGTAGTCTTCACAAATGCTAGGAAAGAGCATACAGCGCAGGGGTCCTTCAGATGTGAGGAATGTGGGGAAACCTTCAGTCGGATGGCGTCTCTGAAACGTCACCAGAACGCTCACGCTGGAGAGAGGCCTTATGAGTGCAGTGCTTGTCGAAAAGCTTTTAGACAAATCACGTCACTCATTCTTCATCAGAGAGTTCACACCACGAGGAAAAGCCGTGAATGTCACAAATGTGAGAACCAGAAAGCAATCCCTGGTCCACATAGCGGAATTCATGATGGAAAGAGAAAGCTTGACAGTGGGAGCCCAGCTTTAAATCAACATCCCAAAATTCGCAATGTTGAGAATGTCCACCACTGCCAAAAATGTAGCGAAGTCTTTAGTTCCTTGTCATCCTTTCTACGTCATAAGCTAATGCACAATAGAAGGAAAATATATAGATGCAGTGACTGCGGGAGAGGCTTCAAAAGGAAACCAGGCCTTGTTAGGCATAAAGCGGTGCACGCTGGAGAGAAAACCTGTGACGATGAAGAGGCCTTAAGTCAGAACCTACAGCGGGGAAGTCACCATTTAAAGAATCCTTTCAAGTGCAGAAAATGTGAGAAATCCTTTAGTAGGGTTTTGCCTCTTATGCTGCATCAGAGAATTCACACTGTGAAGAAACCCTACACGTGTGAGAAATGTCAGAAAGTCTTCGCACGGCTTTCCTCCCTTACTCTGCATCTGAAGCTTCATAGCGAGGAGAAGCCGTTCAGGTGCACTAAATGTGACAGGGTCTACAAGAGGCGCTCGTCCCTACTTCAACATCAGAAAGTTCACGCAAAGAAAAAGAAGCTCTTTGAATGTAAGGACTGTGGGAAGATGTTTTCCGGAGCTGCAAATCTTAAGATACATCAGAATATTCATTCTGAAGAGAAACCATTCAAATGCAACAAGTGTAGTAAGGTTTTTGGCCGCCAGTCATTTCTTACTGAACATCAGAGAATTCACACTGGAGAAAAGCCATACCAGTGCGAGGAATGTGGGAAAGCCTTCAGCCATCGAATATCTCTTACTCGACATAAGAGGATTCATACAGAAGATAGACCCTATGAATGCGATCAGTGTGGGAAGGCCTTCAGTCAGAGTGCACACCTTGCCCAGCATGAAAGAATTCACACTGGGGAGAAGCCGTACACATGCAAAATATGTGGGAAGGCCTTCAGTCAGCGCACATCCCTTATCCTGCATGAAAGGAGTCACACCGGGGAGAAACCCTACGAGTGTAATGAATGTGGGAAGGCGTTCAGCAGTGGCTCGGACCTTATTCGACATCAAAGAAGTCATTCCTCAGAGAAGCCCTATAAATGTGCCAAGTGTGGAAAGGCCTATAGTCGGAGCTCATCTCTGATTCGACATCAAAATACACATTCTGAGGAAAAAACCTAACGTTTTAGATTTGTCAGGGCAAAGAAGGGACAGAAGTGTGAAAATATATACAGATGCTGTTTGACTTATGTCCCAACAAACTCATTTTAGGAGTATACTCAAGTTGAAAATGTATTTAAAACGCCTAACCTGCTGAACATCATCGGCTTAGCGTCGTGGTGCATAGACTATCCTGTGTTCTGTCTGTTGAGTCCCGCAGCTTACTGCGGCAGCCCAGCCTTGGGAGACAGCCTTGCACCATGTTACTAGCCCAGGAAAAGGTTAAAATTGGAAGAATATCACTTTCCCACCGTTGTCAATTTAAACAATCATAAGTTGAAACATCATGAATCAAGGACGGTCTGTGTTTGTTCCATACTGTGTTTTGTAGAAATGAAATTCATTGGTGTTGCATCTGCGTTGAAGGCCAGAGAACAACATGTCATTGTTTACTTTGAACTGAGGATTTGAAATTTCCATGAGGCAAGCCCAGAAGATTGGATCAGGCCTCATGAATGAAAACTTCTTGTTTAATAAGAGTTACCAATGTTTTGCATTCGATGTTGCGTACCAAGATTTCATTAGCCCCATTTAACAAAGTGGAATTGTAAAGTCTATTTTGTTTTGTCAGTGGGGTTTTAAGCCTTATTTAGGGTCACATGCAGAGTGAATTTGTTCCTCAGGATGAGGGCTATCATTAACAGGGCTTCTTGGTAACACAAAGTGCCACTTCATATCTCAGAAATATGTATTTGAGAGGATATGAAAATACATGATATTCATGGAATGAAAAACTGAACATAGCCAAGACATGTGAACAGAAAGCTAACTGGGATATATGAAGAACGAAGCGGATCAGAGCAGGGAGAAACTATTTATTTTTAATATGAAAATGAATTATCTATATTTATATGTATCCATATTGGTATTTATGTGTAATGATGCTGCTGTGCAGTAAGTAGTTATTGGAATATATGTTGTTACAGACTCGGTGTCTGTTACCCTCCAGATTTCTTTGCTGAAATCTTCACTCCGATATGGGGGTGTTTGGAAATAGGCCTTTGAGAGGCAGGAGTGGATGAAGTCATGGGCGTGGCATCTCGATGATGTCATTAGTGCCTTTAGAGGAGAGACACCGGCGTGTGCTTCCTTCTGCACCTCTGAGGACCCAGTGAGAAGGCAGCTTCTTCATACCAGAAGAAGGACTGTCAGCGGGGTTTGTCTGGGGTGATGCCCAGACTTCTAGCTTCCAGTAAGAAGTAGAACTTTTCTTGTTTACCACCCAGGCTGTGGTGTTTTATTACAATTTCCATGTTTAGAAAGCTCCAGATTTATGTGTGGGGTGTTTTTCCTTATCAGCTGCTCACTATATATAATAGCTTTCAGTCTCTTTTTCCAGCTTGTATAAAGTATGTGAGAAATAAAAACCACAGTTATTTTTTTTAAGAATTTGAGGACATGCAGCTTATCTCATGTATAAGTTCATCCCTAAAAGCTGTATTTGAGAACATCTGTTAGGGCAGTTTTGTTGAATGAATGATCGTTTAGGTTAGGTCATTCTGACTTTGATGACTACTGAGAAAGCTTCATTGGCAAGAAAAACGTTTCATTTCTTTTGTCACTAGACTGATGTACTTGTCCATTGTGACAATATTTTGCTTCTTAAGGATTCCGTTTTCTCTTTTAGCAGATACCTCACTTGCATACATGTAGCTCTAGCATGGACTGGTTACTACTGAGCCTTGAAGACATATAAACCAAGAAGACACTGTTCGTAGCCTCAGCCGGCCTGAGTCTACTAAGGAAACATGTCTAAGGTGCTCAGACAGTACAGAGAGCATGATGAGCTCCAAGCTTGTGGAGAATGTGGGAGCAGGAATTTCTACTAGAACTTGGAGACTGTTGAAGGCAAAGAGAAAGTACAGAAGCTTGCAGAGGGCATTTGGGGAGTTAAAAGTGCTAACATTTGGTACAGCGTCTGGTACATAGGTAAGTGGTAAACATTCAAATACTTGAATGGAAATACTATAGCTTGATTGTATTTGAATCATAATCCATAGGGAAGACTCAAACCTCATGATCTACACACTGAGATAAACCCTAGGGAAACCAGCCTTACCCCCTAAAATAACCATTTTTGAAGCTTTTAAAGCCTTTAGGATAACCATAACAACCAAAAACCTTAAACCTAGCTCAATTCCTCACTATATTGAAACGCCCAACACCACAGGTTGAGTAGCAGGAAAGACATGATGTATCCAGTAAATCTACTTAATTCCATTTTCATTATCCCTTTCAAGATTTCTGGTATCCACAGGGGGAAAAAGTAAAATATACACAAAAAAAGCAAGCAAAAGTGAATATTTGGCCGAAATGTTCAGATGTGGGTGAAGACTCCTGTTTGCTATATTAAAGTACCTTGCGTTGATACCTGGCTCTGGCTCCTGACTCCAATGTCTTCTGCTACCTTGTTCAGGTAGCAGTGGTGGCTCAGTAATAAAGGGGCTGCTGCCACCCATGTGGGAGATCTGGATTAAGCTATTGCCTGCTGGTTTTATGGACATTTAGGGAGTGAACCAGTGTCGGTGTTGGATATGAGAGATCATGCCAGACAAGTCTAGAATGTATTAAGGAGTCTATTAAGCAAACTTGGTGATGGCAGGGCCCACTGGAAATTAGCAAGTGACAAGCTCATGTGGCAATCCAGTCTGAATCGAAGCTCTGAGAGGAACAAATGGTCCTTACTGTGAGGCATCTGTGTTCTAGCTTTTCCTAGGAGATGTGCAAAGAACAACCTGGACACATTTTAAAATTGTAAACATTCACCTTTTCTTGGCTTCTGTGTCCACATTTCGTTATTGCTAGGCCTCGCCTCTCCTGGAACTCTTGAAAGTACACAAACTAGAAATACGAAGCATCTTCACTGATCCACCCAGCAGTGAACAGGGGGTCAGGATTAGAGAGATACAGGGGCCATGTTCAGAGGCTACCTGTCCTCAGAGTCTGTCCATAAGAAGGCAGAAAGAAAGCAGGCAGTGGGGAGGCCCAGAGTTGGGGTACAAGAGCAGTGGAAGCATGTGTCCAAGAGAGAAAGCCCTTCTGTCATGAGCCAATATGGGGGCTTGAGGGAGGAGTGGTTATGCAACAATGCAGTACCACCCCCATGTGACTCAGAGGTGGGTAGAAAGGGCTGTGTGGGTGGGCGACACATGGTTTCCAAGCTCATGACCCCGAACTGTCTAAGAAGACCACAACAATGTGAACTATTTGTCTTAGTTCCTCAAGTATATTTTTAAAATTTATTTTCAGAATGTAAGAAAATGCCTCCCAAGAAATAAATTCTCAGAACTAAAATCAGAAAATGACGTAACTGCTGTGGACTATATAACATGGAGTTTTAAATCCCTTTAATGGGATTATATCACTAAATGTAGAAATATGAAAACTATAGGAAGAAATCAAATAGAAATAAAGAAAATGAAAAATAGTATAGATGCTCAGTGTCTCTAATGTATTAGCCAATATGTTTGATACAATCAAGGAAATAAGTAAGCTTGGTGATAGGTTAATAAAATTACTCAAATTAAAACAGAAGAGGAGGGGAAGATAAGAAAGGACAGTACCCAAAGGCTATTGGAAAATATTGAATGCTCCAACACATACATAATTGGGATCCCATTAGGCATAGGGAAAATAAAAAGTAGTTGAAGAAAAAACCTCTTTGGCCAAGAGGGTCTCAAAATTAATGCTCCCAGAACACAAATCCCTGAAGCTCAGAAACATCAAGAATGAGAAATACCAAAAGGACATCCCTAGGTATGTCATTGTCACACTTCTGAAAACAAAAAATCATGAAAGACGCCAGAGGGAGCGAGAACACATCATGTGTGGGAAGACAGATAAAAGGACAGTGCATCTTTAGTGTTGGAAAATACCTATCAATTTTTTTATGGAAATATATTGCAGCTTAACAAAGAAGCAGGCCCGGCATGGTGGCCTAACGCCGAGGGCGCTCCTTGAACATGCCAGGATCCCTTAGAACTAAGCTTATAAAAATAAAACACTTTACGCAATGAAATGGGTAGACCTGGAAATGGAAAAGGTTAATGTAAAATAGTTTTGCTCTTATCTAGTAATAACTGACTAAAACAGTAAATTTATTGTGCTTATAGCATATATAAAGTAAAATATTTGACAGAAGCATAAAGACGATAAAGAAAATGGGAATATATTACATAAGATTTTTACACGTTAACTAACATTACTTGAACATAGATTCGTGGGGCAGAGCTTTGCCCTAATGGTTAAGGCCCTATACATCCCACGGCAGAGAACCTGGGTTTGGCTTTTTTGTTTGTTTGTTTTAGATTTATTTTTATTGGAAAGGCAGGTTTACAGAGAGAAGGAGAGACAGAAAGATCTTTCATCTGCTGGGTCACTCCCCACATGGCTGCAATGCACAAAGCTGAGCGTATGTGAAGTCAGAAGTCCGGAACTTCCTCTGGGTCTACCACCTGAGTGTAGGGTCCCAAAGCGTTGGGCAATCCTCTACTGCTTCCCAGGCCACAAGCAGGGAGCTGGGTGGGAAGCTGGGACATGAACTGGTGCCCTGTGGGATTCCAGTGCATGCAAAGGGTTTAGCACTGGGCCGTCACACCGGGCCCTGGGTTGGACTTTTGTAGGTCGTGATGCTGAGATGCAGCAGTGGGTGGCTTGAAGAATTGGATTTTTGCCAGCCAAGTGGGAGAACAGGATTGTATTCTCAGCTCCTGGCTTGATGGCCTGTTCACTCAGCACCACTGAAGGCATTTGGGGAATGAAGCAGCAGATTGGGGCTCCTGTTATTTCTCTTGCA